CGTGCCTTTGCGAATACGCTTTACAATAAAGTTTTGAAATGACGCAAACGTAAGGACAAGTGCGGATGGTAAAACGGCAAATTTATTGAAAACTACAAGGTACATATTGTTACGAAATTCGAGAGTATTCCAGTTTCGATAAGATCTAAGCATATGCGGCAGAACATGAAGTGGAGTTTCGCCCCGAACGCATTGATTGTCTGCTGTGCTCCGCGCGCTTGGTAGACACCAACACTAGGCCCGGTTAGAAACGGTGGCGTTAAAAACCACGTGAGAGAGCTCGGGAACAAAACAGAAAAAACGAGAAAGATCCGCGGGTGTTTTATAAAAAGGGCCGCCGGCAGTATTGGACAAATTCAAGGACCTATCAAGTTTTTCAAGGACCTAAGACGTTTTTCAAGCACTTTCAAGGACCTAAATTTAGCAAAAAAAAATTCAAGGACTTTCAAGGACCGTGGGAACCCTGAGAAAAAGTTATGAGCTCATGCATAGGAAAAAGAAAACAGAACACTAATAGAAAGCAGAGAACATATCATGTTTGAAATAAAGGTGTGGTAATTTGTCCAACACAGTACAATTTGCTAAATATACTTCAGTTCAAAATTTATATAGCAGCAGTTTGACACTTTAATTCCAAGAGGGATATTAAGTTCTTAACCTGTGCTACACTTCAAGATACTATTTGTAAAAGGTTTAGTTGCAAATTGTATTAATTTGAAATATATTTTGTGTCTTAAACCTATGTGTTGACACGGATGGAACACACTACTTTCAGGGGTCTGTCTAGGTTTTTCTGAAAGGTACCTATTTTGTGAAAATTTAGACATAATTTGTGAAAAATTAAAAATTATATTACAAAATCAATACAAAAACATGGTAAAAATATAGATTTATCGTTTCTTAAGGGATACAAAAATAAAATTTTAAGAAAAAGTATTTCGTGAAACTACCGTTTTTCCTAAAGTTGAATTTGTGAAACTACCGTTTCACCTAAAATTGAATTTGTGAAGGTACCGCTAAACGGTAGTAAATTCGGCCTGGACAGACCCCTGACTTTACACCATACACATGAAAAGTTACAACCATGCACTCAATGTAAATATAACAAATGGTGTTTTAAACGTGGGGCATTAATCCATATGATTATTTAACCTAAAACAAAATTTAGCAGCTGTTTTATTCCAAAGTGTAAACTAAGATTCTCTTTAAATAACTCCTCTTTAAAACAGGAAAAAAGTAGCGAAATAGAACATTAATTATGGCTTCAGAATACTACACTAAGTCATTTACACAATTTCAGTTGGAAAATTTAGAATATTTTTTCTGGATAACTACAATAAAAAAAAAAAAATAAGAAAATAGTAATAAAAACTAATTTTGTTAGCACAGAAATATGCCAAACCTGAACCTGCAATCTTAAGACTAATTGACAAACATGCCAAACAAAATGGACATAAACTTATGCATATACCTTTTTAATTCTTTATTTCAAACACTATTTAAACATCTGTTTGTAATCAACCAAAGATTTCACAACTGACCATTCATACGATTATAATTATAATTAAGAATGCACTGAATTTATCATTACAATATTCTGTGTAGTTATTCGCAGGATAAGAAGAATAAAATAACCAAAATCAACTGTAAATAAACTAACAATTTTAGATCGACACCTAAAGTCAGAAAAACTAAACGACAGGCTCTAACACATGCAATAAAGGCGTTAAACATATATTCAATAAATAATTTTAAAGATCTAAATACATTGTA